GGGGGGAGATGGAACAGAACCAGTGGCCCTCTAGAAACTTTGCGAGTCAAGCAACAGAAACAAGCATCTACATTTGCTTGTTTTTTTTTTTTATTTTGTGGGGCGTTTTATTTTTCTTTTATTTTTAATTTGGTTTGTACAAGAACACCGCAACGCCAAAAAAATGTTTGTAACTCAACACTGTTTATTAGAGTGAGGAAACCAGTTGTAACCAGAGGAATAAAACCATTAAAAGAACAGAACAATCTGGACGAAGTTGAGCCCCTCGTTCCTTTGTTCAGTGGTCCAGCAACAAACAAACCATAAACCTTAGAAATAACAATTAATAGGGACTCTTCATATGAGCCCGGTCAACCTGGCAGGCTCAGTTTCCGAGATCTCGCCTCGCCACTCTTTCTTCCGTAAAATTTCGATGTGTTCATACGAGAAGCCGGGCTGGCCCGGTTACCGAGATCTCGGTAACCGGGATGAAAGTTTTCCCATATGAACACTCCAGCACGGGTGACCGGGACGAAACGTTTTAGACAAAGGCTTCGCTTTCGCAACATAGCGGCCAAAATGGATTGTATGTATTTTCACTTCAAAAGTATGCGAATTAACGTTATTAGTAAAGTTACAAGAGTCCACAAAGCTACGACAGTCGCGATCGATACAAGTTTATGGTCCACCATTTTGGTTTTGTTTCTTGAATTTCATCCCGGTCGACTTGACTGAAATTTCCCATATAAACAGACCACAAAATTCGTTCCCGTAAACAAGCCAGGGTTACCCGGCTCACTGATGAAGAGGTCCTTAATTGAGAATAAAAACAATGATTTCTTATAGACATACCTCTGGAACATTCCCTACAGGTTCTGTTTCAATGGCTTCCTCACTATTCTGATCATGGGTCAAGAACTCTATGGNAGGTTAGCATCACTCAGTTACTTCAACATTCCAATTTTCTCTCTTAAGAATGCTTAAACTACCAAAATCTGACCAGTGGAGACAGGGCAGTCACATCTAACAATGGTTTGGCATGTGACAACTCACTTGGTCCTGCCTGGTTTCGATTTGTTGGCGATACAGGAACTATAATGCCCGATGTCTGCGTTTACCGAAACTATTGTGGGACCCATGCTCCTGGCTGGTTAAATGGTGCTCATCCTACGTTGGAAGAGGGTCAAGTCACAAGGCAGGTCTGCTTCTCTTGGCATGACTGCTGTTCTTGGGCAATTAACATTAAAGTACGAAATTGCGGCGATTACTTCGTGTATTACATCAATGGAACGCCTCCTGAACACCCATGTAACCTTCGCTACTGTGGTGCTGTCTAAGCTGCTGTCACGAAAAGTGTGACCTCTGATTTAATTACTCTACGAGCAAGTAGATTAGCTCGAGTTTGACAGCCTCAAACATAAATTGTAAACATTTACGTCACACAGAAGCTCTCTATTATGCCGTTTGGGAGACCATACCATAAACAACAGAAAAAATTTCCCAATCTAAACCAATAACAGCTAAATTACATGCAGTCAATTTTGTTTTCCTTATGGTCTACTTATCTTTCGTAAGTGTGTACCATTTTGAACCAAAATTGGAAGTGCGCTTCATTGCCTATTTCATAGTATATTTCACTTATTATTTTCGATTCTATTTGGTTTCTATTTTGGTTTCTCGCTTTCTATTTGGTTAAAAAATTAGGCAACCTCGTTCCCGGGCTCTCTCTTTCCTCTGCCTCCCTTGGTCGTTGGAAGAAAGACGGGAGGCAAGGGAGGCAGAGAAGAGAGAGCCTGGGAATGAGTTTGAAAAAATAGATAGACTCTTTTTCTGACGTCACAGTCTGACTTGTCCAAGGTCCTAGTCCCCAGCGGTTTTTAATCCAAGCGGAAGTGACGTTTCACGTTTTCAGATGGCTAAAACGCAGTGAAAAAAACAGTTATATCCAAATCTATTTTCCGATTCCTTATCACGATATCGTGTAGACTCCATAAAGCAAATTTTAAAATATATATTTCTGTCATAGACACTTTTTAAAAGTGTTTTGTTGTATACCTGGAGTTTAGTGTAAAATTACTGCTTAAGGAGAAGTCTAAGTAACCTGATCAGTGCGAGGGCTAAAATTGTTGCCCGGCGGGCAACATTTAGATTTATCCATTGTCATGTGACCATAAATCAACCAATGGAAGCTCACGTTCATGTTTTTCCTTCCTCTGCCGTGTTTTTTATTACCCACAGATATCGATGAGTGCGTCAGCGGTGCACACGACTGCCACCGTTTGGCTTCATGTACAAACACTGTAGGATCCTACACGTGTTCGTGTAACCTTAGCTTCCTTCATCAGGAGACGGTAAAAAGTGCAAGTACACCGCGCCAGGTGAGTATTTTACGTTGATCATGCTCAAATTCAAACTGAACCAAGCACGTTTTCAGGTTGCAGTCGTTAGAGTTAAGTTCAAACTAAACTAATGAGATTGTTAATGTTCTTAGCAACAAAATTGTTTCTTCCGTGCAATGGTTTGAAAAAGCAATTCAACAGACCTAGTTCATAAGATGCATGAGTGGTCCAGTGTCTTGGGTAGTTTGACCTGCCTTTGCTAGCCCCTTACTTAGCCGGAACTTTGATAGTTTATTGAACCCATTTTGATTGGGGTAACCCGAACACACTGACCCGCTGTCCGTGGACCCCACAACGGACAGAGTCCGCGGACTACCCTGCAGACCGCTCCACGGACTACCCCTACTGACCCCCTCAACGGACCACCCCAAAACAGAATAGAAAAGAAAAATAAAGATTTCATTTCTAGGTTGTCTAATAGATTATTCGTGTCGGTGAAATTTCGAGCGTAGCGTTGTGAAAATGAAACAGACTTAGGCTTTTAAAACCCTAAAAATAATGTCTAAAGGCTGTTTTCCGCGTAGGGAGATGTCGATGGCAAAAAGAAAGAAAGTTCTTAACTTTCATTCGGGGCTTAATTTGGCTATGGAAGATATGTTTTTAGGTCGTTTAAGCTTGTTTGTATCTCTTATTCCGCTGAGCATATTGTGATGTCTGGGACGAGTTCACGAACCCACCGGAGATTAGCGGAGAATGGGCTGAACAAAATGGCAGAGGGGAGGAGCGCAAATTTCGACGCTTCCCGGTCTTTCATTTATAGCCACACCAAAGGAAATGGTAACGTGTAATGATATAGCTTGCAACCGAGCCTGAACCCAAGTCTGTAACATTTGCACAACGTCAGGAATAGTCTACTAGACAACCTGTCAGTGAAATCTTTATTTAATATTATTCTTATTCTATTTTGGGACTGGTCCGTAGAAGGGGTCCGTAGCGGTAGTCCGCGAATCCGGTCCGTAGTGGGGGTCCGTGGACCGGGGATCAATGTTTTCGGGTTATGCCATTGACTGCGATTAACAGGCTTGCTGTAGGTTATCGAAAACATGCATATTCGGAAAATGAATGAAGTTGTATGTTTTACTGCGTGAACTTGAATAAATTCATCAAACTACAAAATGGAATCCTCAAAAAGGCAGTGCTAAATCGGCAACAGATTGAACAAATCGAATTTCTAATTACACATGAAGGTACAAATTGCAAAACTACGTGCAATGTCGAAAATTCAAAAGTTGAATTTTGGTGGACTTTGAACCCTTTATAGTTTTTTCATTATTGGAAGTTGATTCTTCCAGCGTGATTTCTCGGAAGTCGGCGCCGAGCATTGGATATGATTTTCCTTTTTATGGCAAATGCCATCCGAATATGTTCCTGTTCTGTTTTTTTTTTTTTGGTTTTATTTACCCAAGCTAAATTTGCGATAAAAACGTAGCTTAAGGGATACTTCTAAGCAGAAAAATAGTTTGGGCAGGTAAATCCATGTACCAGATTGATTCTCTGGTCCACGAAATTGACCTAAATTTTGACGTGACGCAACATCATCAAA